TTTACCCCAAGTTATAACTTAAGAGAAAACTGGTACGATATTTTCTTGTCTATCTTGGCAATTATTGATGGAGTTATATGCCAAGATAGACAAGAAAATATCGTACCAGTTTTCTCTTAAGTTATAACTTGGGGTAAATTTTATATATTTGTTCCATAGTTCTTCCTGTTGTTGTATTGTGACTGTTTCTTTGAAATTTTGCATTTCAAATTCATTTTATCATACAAGTTTTTATTTGTTGTGTCTCCATGTCATATTAAGTAACTTTGTTTGATGGTGCCTTCAATTCAGTTTTTGACTCCTGGCGACTGCCTGGACTAGTCCATGCAGTTTTCTTGGCAAGGTTTTTCAGAAGTGGTTTGCCACTGCCTCCTGAGGACTGAGAGAGAGTGACTGGCTCAAGGTCACCCAGCTGGTTTTGTGCCTAACGCAGGATTAGAACTCATTCTAGCCTGATGCCATAACCACACCACCAAACTGGCTCTCACTAACCACACACACACACACACACACACACACACACACACACACCCTAATAGGTAGTCTTGATTCTGTATGAGCATTTCAAATTCTGTCATTTTTCTTTGAAGCCCTCCCTCATTTTTGAGATCAGATTTTATTCTTCCTCCAATTTGTAGGTACATTAACCATAGTATGTCCCAGCCACCAAGTAATTCTTGCTGGGTCATTAATCTATTAACTGGATCTGAGTGAATCCTATCTACATATATAATTGTACTTTTCTTACTATAGTTATCTCCAGCATAAAAAACATTAAGGAGAAGCTAGTGGTGAAAATATTGGACTTACTATTTTTCTTGTACAGTTCCATACTTTTATCAAATTTTGTTTTATAATATGTCCTATTAAATTTTTGTCCTCTTTTGTGTCCCTGTAACATGAATATCTATGAAGTCCATTAGCTAGACCGGCTCCTCCTCATGTTGATGTTCAACTGTTTGGGGATTTTATCCATTCTGTTAGCCATGACAAACAGCTTGCCCTATAATATAGTTTGAAGTTTGGAAGAGCAAGACCACATCTGTCTTGAGTCTTGTAAAAGTTTGAATTTTACTCTCAGTTTTTTTCCATTCCATATAAATTTATCAATAGTTTTTTGCCATTCTTGTAAAGCTTTTTCTGGGATCAGATTTGGCACCATCTGAAACAAGTAGTTCATCTTGGGTAATAAAGCAGTTGATCCTAGCCAAGAAAGTTAAGTTTATATACCTTTCAACATCTCTTTTGATTTCTTTAATATAATTGTTCTGATATATTTCTTGATTGTTGCCTGTAAAATACAAATAATTTTTCTTCTTTCTCCTTTTTTTATGGTATTCTTAAATAACAAAATAGTGAAGACTTTGCACTCAACTCAGAGAGTCAAAAATATCTCTAAAATTCTTTTCCTTATTAAAAATGACTTAAAAATAAATATATTTTCTTTTTTATAGTTAATTTTTCATCAATGATATACAGAGTGCTAACTGTACAGCTTCTGTAACTTTTTTGTCCATTTATTGATATTATATCTTTGCATCAATTATTATTTCCTTTTTTTCCTTTCTTTTTTCCACTTGTTCATTAAAAGTGGGTTTTAAAAGTGATTAAAGTGGTTTTAAAAGATTAAAAGTGATTTTAAAAAACAATACCCAGATAACTATATTGCTTTTGACTTGATGGAGACTTTACCTTTAATATATTTTCATATTTATAACTGAATTCTTCCTAATCTGCTATTTTCTGATAAAATTATCCAACATACCACACTGTTAATAAATATGATGGCTATAGGAGCCACCAAATACTTTTTATATTAGAAAAATGCAGAATGTATTTAGATATGTTGTTGTTGTTCAGTCATTAAGTCATGTCTGACTCTTTGTGACCCCATGAACCATATCGTGCCAGGCCTTCAACATACCACACTGTTAATAAATATGATGGCTATAGGAGCCACCAAATACTTTTTATATTAGAAAAATGCAGAATGTATTTAGATATGTTGTTGTTGTTCAGTCATTAAGTCATGTCTGACTCTTTGTGACCCCATGAACCATATCGTGCCAGGCCTTCCTGTCCTTCACTGCCTCCCTGAGTTTGCTCAGTTTCATGCATAGAGTGCTGAAAATGTATTTAAATTTTTCCAAAACTTCATTAAAAAACATGAAAAATGGGATTTCATTCTACCTTTCAACATTTCCAGAAATATGACATCTTATTGCTAGTTGTTTTGTGCTGTATCCAATGCAAATTTGATTTTCTTGTTATCATCCAAAAATCATACCTCAGTCAGATTATGCTGTTGTAAAGATTTCAGTTCATAGGGATCCACATATAATCCTCTTGGAAGATATACTTTAGTTGCCAGCCTGCAACTTTTAAGGCCTTCATCAGCTATACCAAAATCTACCCTAATCAAGAGATCTCTAACGTAAAGAAGAAAACAAAAGGACTTTTAATAGACATGCAGAGAATACAAACCATCTCCAAATCATACCAGTTACAGTGGGGCAAAAAAGTATTTAGTCAGCCACCAATTGTGCAAGTTCTCATTTGCAAATCATGGTGGAAAGTAAGTATTTGGTATTTGCAAATCATGGTGGAAAGTAAGTATTTGGTATTTGCAAATCATGGTGGAAAGTAAGTATTTGGTATTTGCAAATCATGGTGGAAAGTAAGTATTTGGTATTTGCAAATCATGGTGGAAAGTAAGTATTTGGTATTTGCAAATCATGGTGGAAAGTAAGTATTTGGTATTTGCAAATCATGGTGGAAAGTAAGTATTTGGTATTTGCAAATCATGGTGGAAAGTAAGTATTTGGTATTTGCAAATCATGGTGGAAAGTAAGTATTTGGTATTTGCAAATCATGGTGGAAAGTAAGTATTTGGTATTTGCAAATCATGGTGGAAAGTAAGTATTTGGTATTTGCAAATCATGGTGGAAAGTAAGTATTTGGTATTTGCAAATCATGGTGGAAAGTAAGTATTTGGTATTTGCAAATCATGGTGGAAAGTAAGTATTTGGTATTTGCAAATCATGGTGGAAAGTAAGTATTTGGTATTTGCAAATCATGGTGGAAAGTAAGTATTTGGTAGAACTTGCACAATTGGTGGCTGACTAAATACTTTTTTGCCCCACTGTATGTATCTGTGTATAATGAATTTTTAAACATTGTAAATCTGCAATCGTAAATTTAATATGCAATTTGTTTTCTAAAGTGATAGAATTAGGGAGACCTTACTTGGAGATAACACTAAATCCCACTGAAATTTAATGAAATTGCTTCTTTATAAACATATATAAGAAGCAAAGCTTTCACTCATTATTGCCTAAATTCACACCACAGAATATAATGTAAATGAATGGACCTGAAGCTGAGATTAAGTCCCAGCCCAATTAATTCTGCATCACTTTAATGTAACTACTACATAACTAATTTATAGATTAATCTCCATACAAATCCACTGGACTGAGCAGAATGGAATTTACAACAACAATGATCTACTAATATTACCAATTGCCTCACCTCATGTCCATATGCACCAGAAATACATTTTAACATCACTCAGTTGTTCATTTAATTTTTATTAAATATATACCTACTTTTCCACTCTAAATCATGCTCAGATAAGAAAAAAACTCATTTCAAACATACATTTAAAATGTAATTAAATTCATAAAATTAAAATATTAAATATTAATTCAAAGAAACTGTTCCCAATCATTTAAAATCTGCTTCAACAGCCAAATAAGCTGTGTGCCCCCCACAAAAAAACCCTGAATAAAAATGTATTTGCTTATCAGAAGGATAACAGAAGGCAAACTCAGCTGAACTCCTGTAGCAAAGAATTATAAGTGATGCCATGATTACCCTTTCGCGGTGCCTGGAGGCTGTGGGGGTCTGGATGGGGTGCAACAGGCTTCAGCTGAACCCTGGTAAGACAGAGTGGCTATGGATTGGAGCCCCTCTGTATCCAAGGATTTACCAACTTTGGTTTTGGACAGGGTTGCACTGCCCTGGGCAGAGCCGGTGCAAAATCTGGGGGTCTTCCTGGACTCACAACTCCTGCTCAAGGAACAGGTGGCAGTCGTGGCCAGGAGGGCCTTTGCCCAACTTCATGTGGTGTACCAGTTACGCCCTTTCCTGAATCAGGAGGCTCTCTGGTCAGTCACTCACACCCTGGTCATCTCTCAGTTCGACTACTGCAATGCACTCTACATGGGGCTACCGTTCAAAGAGCATTCAGAAGCTGGTTCAAAATGCAGCCACAGAGACAATCTTGGGTGCCCCACGAATGCCACATATAACACCTTTACTGCAGGAACTGCTTGGGTCCCAGTTTGCTTCCGGGTCCAATTCAAGGTGTTGGTTATTATCTTTAAAGCACTACATGGCATAGGTCCAGGTTACCCGAGGGACCGTCTCAGCCCCATCATATCAACCCTTCCCTCCCGGTCAGGCAGAGACGGCATGTTATGGACCCTGTCAGTGAGAGAATGTTGGGCAGGGCCCAGGAGGAGAGCCTTCTCTGCCATTGCCCCTGTCCTTTGGAATATTCTCCCCTCAGAGGTGCAGCGGGCCCCTACCCTCCTGGCTTTCTAGAAAGGATTAAAGACCTGGCTCTGCCACCTTGTGTGGGACAACAAGAATCTTACCCGATCCTGGGGGTGGCTGGTGTCTTTATGACGCTCCCCGAGCTACTTGCCAATTAACATCTATTCTTGGATTATATTTATTTTCTATTTATTCAGGACCATTTTACATTATATTTTTAATTGATTTTACTTCTCTGTAAACTGCCCAGTCATTTTTTAATGAGATTGGCAGTGACAAATAAAATAAATAAATATGGAAGCATCCACCAAGAAAGCTATCAGTCACAGTCCCTCTAGATATTCCTTTAATAATGATGAAACCAAAAGAGTTATAATTTGCAATTACTTACTTTGTCTTATCACTGAGAATCAAGTATTTCAGTTGGCTAGTTCCAAACTGTATAGTGCTATATAAGTTATAGCTAACTATTTAAATTGTGCCTGAAAACCAGCAAACAATGAAACAGATAGCAACATGGAAATTACTTGCTTCCCATAATGGTCTCTATGATTTGGATGAAGATTCTGGACAGCTTAAGGTTCCAAATATCTTTTCAAGACAGGTCCATGTAGAATGGATTGTAATTAGAAAGATGCAAAAGTCTGATGCATTCAGGCCTTACTGAAACACTATTTAAAAAGCACTGATCAATATCTAATTGTCATAACTGACCTATGAAAGCCATCTTTCAAAAGCTGTTGCGTAATCTCAGGACATGTGTTCTGTGCATCTATTAAAAAAAAGAAATTATATGAAAAGTCTATACTATTTTGAACAATAGTGATCTTTTGTAAACAGCATAATTCTAACACCTTCAAAGTTTCAATATTCTTACGTCCTTAAGCAACAACAGAAATGAAATTAAGATATTGTGATAAACATAAAAGGAGTTCTTTCTTGAAGTCATGACAGATAACAGTCATTTAACTTAGTGATTAATAACTCTTTTAGTCCAGCCTATTGCAAAATGCAAAAATATGCTGTCCCCAAATTTCCAGCAGCCACAACTTCCAATATAAAGCAGGGAGGGAGGTGGTCACTGTTTTCTGGCTGCACTGCCACATGCCTCCCACAACATAAGCTCAGCAACTTTCCTTGGAAAAACAGAGAAAAGTTCTATTAGCAGCCAGAAAGCAGCATCATATTTCTCTGGCTACAAAGACAAAACACAGCTTTGACAGAGGCAGATACGCAGATGCTACACTGCAGCTGAATAAAATAATTATCTTCTTGATTATTTTAATCTTAAAATCTATTAATAGAATCTATCATGCCATTTCAATGAAACTGCTGAATAGTATAAAATATGAATACCAAATGCATTTGAATATATTAGAATATTAATAACGTTTAAACATATTGTACAAACATCAATGTATTGAAACAACACAATGTACTAAGATTTATAACAACATAATAAAAAGGAAAATAAAGAATCTAGTCAGTATAATAAAGAAAAAGCATTAATGCATATCAACAAATATACTAAATAAAAATGTAACTTTATATCCATACAGAATATTAAATGAAATACAAAGTAACATATGTCTAAGCAACTAATGTAATTAATATTAAATTATAGAATATTACAAATGCATCCTCTTTGAAACCTCAGACTGTTTGTAATACCAAGGGAAAGGACCAGATTGCAACTTACATACAAATTCTGGCATTATACATAGGCTAAAAAATTTCAGAAAGGAGAGAATAACCCAGTTGGAGGAGCACATTCTTTTTCTACTGGTACATTTCAAATTAAACCTGTAAGAAAAAATAAATCACATTATAACAACAGCATTGCATAATACAGAATATTTTATTAAATTACTATGCAAATGACAATAAGAATTAATTCCATGTAAGGTAAGTTCTTAAGTTCTATAAGCTCTTCCTATCCACTGGCCTTATAAAGCTTCAAAAATGTCCAGCACAGGCACTCTCTGCTGATAGCATTCTACTGATATAAACTCTCTGTGTGCATCTCAGTATACACACATTTATGACATCTCTCACTGCATATAAAATCATTTATGTATATACACATTACAATTCAAATCATGTACTCTTCATTTGTACATATGCAACAAAATAAATGCTTTTGGATTTGGAGACTTTGACCCATATCTCAAGAACTCTGCTACAATCCTTATAATGTTTGAGATACAAAATCCACTGAAATCAGCAAATGTTTCTTTGAAATGATGGAGTAGAAAATAAACTAATTCTGTTAAGGACATTTTTGTCAGTAAATTGGATTTGTCACAAAAGATGATAGCACCTAATCAACACTGGCTGATCTTGAAAAATCTAAAATGTGGGTAATACTAGGGACAAGACTTAGGTAGTACTTGGATGAGATAACACCAGGAAATGCCAGGCTGTAGACTACACCAGAAGTCTTAAAAAATCCCAAAAGTCAATGACAAGCCATCTATATATTGTTACCAAAACAACACTGATGTGTTCATGTTGCCAGAAGTCAAGCTCAACTCAAAACTTGAGCTTTTATCAGTAAAAACTATTTTCTAAAAAAGGAAAGGACCATCCATCCCTCCACAGATTATTTTCCCACATATTTTGTGTGCACATCAAATAACCAAACTGAAAACTATCAGTAGTGTTATTGCCTGACAGAAAAGTTCCTACTTGAGAATCAGAATGGCTACAGCTGCAAAAATCTGGACAAAATCTGGACAATTGTTAGTATTAAAGGAACCCTAAGAAACACTGAGTTCATGTGATATGAAGCATAAACTAAGCAACTATCTTTTATTTATTGGGTTTCAGTTAGATGTGTATCCCACTTTTTCATTCATAAGCTCTCAGAGCTCATCCTATTTTTTCCTACAACAATAACTCTTATAGAAGAGAATATATGTAGCGCAGGGTTGAACTGTGGAGTCCTTGGTGCTCTCTGAGCTTATGTGCTTGCATGTGTTTCATACATGATGTTACCTGACTACGTAACCTCATCAGTGCTAGTGAGTGTGGGATTTGCTCCCTGTTTATATACAACAGCTTGCCCTGCCAGTGTTGATTTGGGTATGGTTTTCTCCTGGGTAGTTCCTTAATTAGGATATTGTTTTCTGCTTGATTGTTTGTCTGGTGTTAATCCCTGGCTATCTGGATGTTGGCTGCTGGACGGGATGTGTCTGTTGATGGCTGATGTGTCTGAATGACAAGTTCCAAGAATCCCCTAACAGTTTTTGGATTTGGCTTGGTTTGGGATGCTCACAGTTTCCAGGCTGAAACTGTGGTTGAGTCTGTCCATGTGTTGTGAAATTAAAGAGTTTTCATTGTGTCTTCTGATATAGAAATAAACCATATTTACACACCATTCAAAAGAGACAACAAAAAGCTAAGAAGGAAACAAAAAAGACTAGAACACACACCCCCACCAACACTACCAGGGCAAGCTACTTTATATAAACAGGAGCAAACCCCACACTCACTAGCACTGATGATGCTACCTAGTCAGAGAATGAAACATCTGCAAGCAAACAACCAAGCTCAGAGAGCACCAAGGATTCCACAACAATAACTCTGTGAGGTACAAAAGTGTGACTGGTCCAAAGTCACTCAGTGAGTTTCCATGGGAAAAAGTTCACTAGAATCTGGTCTTCCTGGTGCCAAGGCAACACTACACCACACACCTGGCTGTGGGAATCCATCAAGTGTGCTTACTTTATGGTTCAGCATGTTATGAGAACTAAGTCAGCCTAATTGTGCATTCATGATAAAGTTAACCAGGGGAAAGTCTGACATGTGACTAAACCCACAGTGGAGAATTGCCAGAAGCACAGTACTGTACCAAGATGGACAACCTAAACCATTATTCCGCACAATTTCCGACCAAACTGCTGTGTCTAAGGTATCTGCTCAGCCTACACCTCTAGTACTTCGGACAAGTGAGAAAAGAGGCAGTAGAGGGAAAGGACTTTATCTACTCTTTCCTTTTCGCCAAAAGAATAACACATCCCCGACGTTACTCTACCGTACAATCCTCCCTACCTCGTACAAGCGCTCCCCCTTCCGTTTATGACTAAGACCCCTCCTTAGGAGTGTCCCACCTCCGCCAGATTGAAAAACATATGGCAAATAAATAGTATCTGTTTCCGACTACCTAAGAAGCCCACGGAGAACTGACAAAAGGCGAGAGCGGCGAGTAAAGAAGAGCCCTGAAGGTGACACAAATCTTTTCAAGTTTTCTTCCATTACAGGCTAATTCTTAGGCAACAATGCCGAGGGACCTGAAGCGGTAGCTACGCCCGGCTGCAGTTACAGTGACGAGCAGAGGGGACCAGTCGGGGCGACGGGTGGGAGGAGGAAGAGCTGTGCGTGGAGGAGAAGGCGACTGTCTGTCTTTTAAGGCCAGCAGTCTGCTATTTTGAGTTAACCCAGCTGTTGAATGCAGTAAAGAGTAATTACAGTAATGTCAATCTATTTTTTTAAAAATCCATAGCTGGGGAGCGCTTTTAGGACAAACCCAAACGGCACAAACTGCTAATGATGTACAAGCCTTTGAGCTTTCCAGAATGTCTTTTTGTAACCCCTTCTCTGCCTGAAGAGTTCTTGGGGAGGTTAAAATGGCTCTTTCAGGCCATTTAGGTGGCCCGCATTAAGGCACCTGGAAACGACTTCATTCGGGCTCTTAAAGTTTGAGTCTCGGGCCTGGAAGTGAGATCCTCCCCCCGCCCAAACAACAGCTGAAGCCAGAGCTGGCGGTCACAATAGCGAATGAACGCTGCGTGCCTTTAAGCGCCTGCAGACGAACTCCTGCCGCGGTTACGTGGTCGTCGTTTGCGCCCCCAGCGGCGGTTCTTGGGGCAGGGGGTGCCGCTGCAGTCCCGGCGCCTCCTTACAAGGAAACTCGCATCCCTGAACGATTCCCGGAAGCGGCGGGAGCCGCGGCAGAGAACTCAGCCCACACGGCC